TAAATTGAATGCAAAATATGGCAAACAAAAGAGCATCTTATTATTTGTAAATTGAATAAAATTTGTATCAATAATTAATTAAACAAATAATCTAATAGTAACAAATTAAGCAATAAACTATAAAATGAATTAAACTTGTATAAAAAGTGTATAAATAAATATTAATGTTGAATTAGAAGAGAGAATCAATCATGAATAAAAAACGTAACTAATGAAAGACCAAACATTGATCTATAGATAAACTTGTATCAATAATGAATTAAGCAAGTAATTTAATAGTAAAAAATCAATCAATAAATTGCAGAATGAATGAAATTTGCATTAAAAATGTATTACACAAATACTAAGGCGTAAGCTGGATAGTTTAGACGAGTAGGTTTCCGAGAATAACCCGTTTGATATGGGGTAAGTTTCCAGAGAGGGAACTTGTTTTCAACTAAAGCTTAGCCTAGTCACCATTGTCTTGCAAAATTAGCTACCGAAAGCATGTACCCAACCACTTTTATCTTCACAAATAGCGATCACACCCCAAGAACTCTCTTATGTACTTGATTTTCCTTTTAATTTTTTGCTATTTTACTACTTATGACAAACAAATTTTGATACTTAACACTTTGATGTCATAAATTGAATTTAATTTGTTTTTATATTCGAAAATGTCTTGAGCTATCACTATTTAGAATGGAATTCTAAGTAACTACTATTTTCACTATCACTCTCTTGGGACACGGCCCCAACCCGTGGTTGGGTTATTAAACTAGCTTCGATTCATAGACAATCAGACTGTATGCTTGTTTCGTTGATCACGAGTATAAAGAAAAGATACAAAGAATAACCATGTTATGTTTTTATTATGATTATGAACTGCATTAGTTTGTTGTGTATTTTACATATATCTCAAAGTTATTTGTATCTTTGCGTACAAACAGAGTTGAAAATCATGTTTTAAATAACTTTTCTTTATATTGCACATGATTTTAAACCGTTTTATAATGAAATGAGTTCAGTTAATTACTCATGTGATGAGAAGAGCCAAGGTATGTATTTGTTTCATAATCTCTTTCAAGCCTATGTTGTTTAGCATTCCAACTCGCGTACTCGTTTAGTCAATGTATTGATGTCAGTTGGCCTGCATCGTATTATGATACAGACGCATGTAACTAGGTTTGACATTCCAACGCGTCGTTGATCCAGTTAGGCACCTTAGAGTCAATTGGTGAGCCTCCTTGCATTTCCGGAGTAACCATTTTATTGCTTTCATTTTTAATTTCAGTTCATTAGGATGTTGTGGGGCTTGTCCCAACATCCATCTCAGTTATTAGAGGTTTCATAGATAGTCAGTCAGATGTTAGTCCATTCGTTATTATTTTGTTATTAGCTTATGTTTAGATTTGAGTTTCCACTTTGCCTCAATTAAATGTTTATTTTCAAAACATTATGAGTTAAGTTTGAGGTGGTTAAGTTGTTTAGCATTTGAAATCTTTTTTTTAATGTTTTATGTCTTCCACTGAGTAAGTAAACCACTCCAAGGGTCCGCTTGGGGCCTTCAATGGTCTCTGAGTGCCTGCCAAGTCCAGGGTGTAGGCTTGGAGCGTGACAAGAGAACTTAAATTTCTTTAATTTGGTAGGTCACGGGACACCTAATTTATAATGTGATTGGATATATGATCGTTTGTAGTTTGCCTAGGTAGAATCTTATGTCAAAACTTAATCCATTAGGAAGCTTTCAACTCAACTTTGTGATAGATGATTCTTGTGACATTAATTCATATCCAAGTCCATTCTAATACTAAAGAATTGTCCTTTACACATATATATGAACAATTTTTATTGCACTGATCATAGTTTGTACTAACCGCGGCTTGAAGGATGTGCGTTAAAATTAAAATTATCAAAAAATGTAGGAAGAAGGGTATGGAGTCAGTATTTGGAAAGTATTGAGCATGGGAAATGAAATAAAATAGTTGAATGTGATTAGTCTGTAAAACATGCTTGGTGTATTGAACAAGTAAATGTAACATGAAAACTGATTATCTAATATGAAATACATAGTACAAAGTCATGCAATATCTAAAATAACATAATCAATTGTGGAAGATATACTATAATCAACATAAACCATGCAAGCTACTACATAGATTTCAGGGTTCTGCTCCCACACTAAAAAGTGAGTATCCTACTTTTCAAGGTAAGAATCATGATATATGAGTTAAGGTGGATCCACTATCGATTGTCTAATAGAGACAAATCTTATGGGGACACATAGTTGTATTCAACCATAGTCGGACTCACTGCTAAATATATTTTAAAAATATACATCATTAAGGAAATAGTAATCTGATAATACTGAATCATACTAATAATTTGATAGAATATGATAATTAAGCTAATAAAATCTCGATGGCTTCTACGGATGCCTTCCATGGACCGTATAACCATATATGGACCATGAAAAGGGTCAACAGAAGTCAAAGGAAAAATACAATTTTTCTGAAGTTCGATCTTGAAACAAAACAAAAGTGATGACATAGCTTGACTTTGATATTTTCTCACTTGATGTTAGACAAATAAGTGTGAGACCTTTCTTTGCTACCAATTCAAAGTGCAAGAGGGGGTGCGGTTAGAATGCTTTTCTCCTTTTCTTAGTCAACTTGATGTTCCTGACAGTTGACTGTTGTAACCCAAAGCAACAGATGTAAAAAATTGTTATGAAAGTGTAAAAAGTAAATATATATGACAACAAATATTTTTATATAGCATCTAGGTGGATCCACTAGCTAGTATTCCTATGGGGTCACATATTTAAGGAACTAGGAGATTTTCTATAAACTCATTTATGCACATTTTCATCGTAGTCTCCATCTCATGAGAACAATACTAAACCTACCTTCTCTCTTGAGAAGTGACACCTCTCACATCTAGTTTGTTCGGTGCAAAGCTAAAGTCCCTTTTTGAAGTCTTTTATGTCCTTCTTAATAATCAATTCTTAATAAAGGTCATAAGAGACTAACCCCTTGTATAATAATGTCATTAGCTGATTAGGTCTAGGATAAGAATATTCTTTCATTACTAAAGCATCATTATGTGAGAAATACATCATATCATAAGCACACTAAGAACAAGAACAACCGAATTTTTTGCAATCCTCCGTAACCTTAGTTCATCATGATCTCATGTCCTAATCATACATGCATAGATTCATCATTGACTCTTCAATTGAATAAAAACATCGAGTATAGATTAACATCAACATAATATAGTAATGGTGATCTTAGAAGTCTTATCTATGGCTTCCAAGAATCTCCTTGAACATCTCACCCTCAATTCCACAACATTTATACAATAATCCAATAATCAAAATCATTTAATAGTAAACTAATTAATAACATCTCCAATTACAACAACGCTAATCAACTATCAATCTTCTTCATAGCTAGGCTTAGGAAAAAAGGGTCATTCATGATTTTTTAAGAGAAACTAGGTCAAAGTTTAAAGAACTAAAACAATATACCAACAAACAATCATAATCTATCAATATAAACGAACACAATCTCATAAGAAATTAATTTGAAGGATAACCCACGAAATTGGGTGAAAACGATAATTTTGAAGAACATAAAGTTCAAATTTTTGAAGTGCCTCTTGGGGAAAGGGTTCCAAAGAGTTAATAGCTTCCATACCTCAAAAATCCTTAAATAATGATGGTGGAAAACTTGAGTCTTGAAGCCCTAGTGAAGATTGAACCTTGGTATTTATTTGGGTCTTTGGGGTAGTGAGAGAAAGTAGAGAGAAGTGGGAGTAAATTGGGTTTGGGAAATAATAATGTATTGAGTTAGTCTAATGAAATATAATCTTTTATAATCCCCAACTAAATTAATTTACCATCCCTTAATACCTGATTAATTTATTAACTAATTATCCTAACCTTTGCCGAAATTAGACAGTGAAGTGGAGGACAAAACGAAGACTCCACGTCAACGTTCTGCCGACCAAACTATGGACCGTACTGGCAGTTCGTGGTTTTGGTCAGAGATCTGGTTTTTGAGCCATATTGTGATTTGGATAAGTCTCCACAACAATAAAGGGTATTACATAAAGTTAAAACATTTTTTTGAAACTGAGGGTTGAATTATGCATTCTCTACTAATATATATTAGGCGGAATGACCTGAGAGGCCCTTGTACTTGACTCAATTTGTATGTTGGATTCATGTACTTACGACTTTGTCAATTGAACCCTTAAACTTATTCAAACAGATTTTTGACTTATTTCTTACCTGATAGGTGTGCATGTAGCACAGTCATTTTACACATGAAATATCACCTCATTTTTAATAACACATTATTATTATTATTATTATTATTATTATTATTATTAATTTTCTAATGAGACATCATAAATAAAATATTTAAAAATAAATAATATTTTAAAAATATAAAAAAATATTCTCTCTGACTATACTCATTTCACCCCCTTCCCACTCCATCTTCTTTGTTCCCACCTTCTACCATTTTCAACCCAAAAATAAAACTACCATTTTCATCTTTCATCCCAGCTCATACTGAAAATTTTCCTCAATAACAAAATGTGAAAGATTATAATAATTTGTTCCACATGCTTTAGGATTCTATTAATTTTAATTTGATAAAAAGAGATATCAAGAAAAATTCAAATTGAAAAAATATGTTTATATGTATACTAAAGTAATAGATCTGAATGAATTAAGTTTATAAAATGGTGAATGGTATATCTTGTTGCAAAAACTTTTAAAATTTTTTATTTAATGATTTTATAGTGATAATGTTTACGTCAAAGAAGAAGAGAAAATGAGTAGGGGAGGGGGAGGGTGGGGGTGGATGAGGGTTGAGGTTTGAGAAGAAGAAGAGGAGAAAAGGAGTAGGGCTGAAGAGTAAGAGAGAAGAGGTGGGGGTGGGGCGAGGTGGAGTTAAGAAGAAGGTTTTCAATATAATATTCTTTTAATTTTTTTTTTTTATCTTATCTTATAATTTTTGACCAATTAAAATAATAGTATTGTATCACTTGCTTCAAAGACGTGTGGGATCATGAATTTATCCAACTCGGTGATTTTAGTGTCACATAAGTTATTCCATGGTCAAAAGGGCTTAAAAATAGAGTTTCATTGAGCTTAAGGGTTTAGTTGATAAAATGTAAGTAAAATAATCCAACTTAAGAATTGAGTCAAGTAAAAGGGTCTTCCAGGTTATTTTTCCTATATGTTATGATACACAGTATGTCCGGACTATTGACATTAAAACACATTTTGATTATATATTTTAATGGTATTTAATGTCTATCTAGATTTAAAGAAATATTCTTTGTAGACTCTTCCTTGTTGTGGATAAAAGAAGTGAAAAAGAAAGGATATAACCGTCTATATTTCATTTAAGAAAAGATGTTTACTAGATAAACATTTCCATATATATTATAAAACTTGTTTCTATGTATTACATTTTTGTGAGAGTGAAAAAGAGTTGTTTGTTTTGTTTAGGTTGGGCTTCAAATAGTGTAATCTCACTACTCTGCTCACCAATTTGGAATGTTGGCAGTTGCTTCGTTTACCATCTTCACGAGAGTTACCTGCAACCTTATCATTAGTTATAAGCCTCGAAAAAGCAAAATCTAACATTAAAAAAGATATCTTATATAATTTAATAATTGGTGTTTCGGAGATCCAACATGATAGAAGGGCATTGCTAAAAAAAGAAGTATATAATACTCATTAAGTTGAACAGGTAACATACACAATAGGTGAAACCATACAAGACATTAAACTTTACATGTGTCAAGTGAATAGTAGTGGGGAGTGAGGATATGCAAAAGCAAAATAAGAATATTAGAGTAGCCCTAAAAGTGATGAGACAATATGGGAGTGAGGATATGCAAAAGCAAAATAAAAATAATGGAGTAGACCTAAAAGTGATGAGAGAATGTGACACCCAACCTGAGTTTTTTTTTTTGACTTGTACCAAGATTCCACAAAATCATGTTAGAGAAGAAAAGTGAAATCTTGAGGACGGGAATGCGATTTTGATGTCCATTCATTTGTCACCCATACAAACATAGCTACACACCTAGATTTAGATATACTACTCAAGAATGACATAATAATACGAAAGGCATGTAGTTCTTCATATGGTATATAGGATAAACATTATTGGAGTTATTTAAGTTGTTTAATATTTCATTAGGACAAAGGAAGCCAAACAAGTGGAGATCCATGTTGATAAATAAGAAAAAATTACAAAGTTCGTCAACCAAAAGAATAAAAATTAATGTTTCATGGTGCATGATGACCAAAAGTTGGTATATATTATGGATATGAATACGTGACAAAGTGATTGGTAATTAAGTTGAAGAATGATTATAAGACTCGTAAATATCCAAAGATGAATGTCGGAGCAACGCAAAAATCAAATTAGAAATGATGTTAGTAGCTGGAAGTAGTAAATAATTGACTACATGAGGGGATAATATGAGAGGTCAAGTCAGCATGCCCTTTGTGAACTTGGGTCCATACTCATAAATGAGTCCAAACAGTTCTAAGAACAGATCATAACGAAAGCAAAGGATCCATAGAAGCAATGCCCAATAATTGTGGTAATTAAGTACCAGGTCTGAATTATTTAGATGGTTTAGCCTTTCCTCAAAACCAAATGTCTCCTACTTCTATTAAGCTAAAAAAATAGATTTAATTTGTTAGCTAGACTACTTCTTCTTTTGTCTCCTAGAACTAACATTCTAAATAGTGTTTTAATTTATAGACTTTTTCTGTAGCTTCTCAGCTTCGTACTTTGGCAAAGACAATATTGTCTTCTTGATGCCAGCAATGAATCTACTGAATCAAAAAAAACCCTCAACATTTAAATGAAATGGACCTGAAAAACAAATTATTAGTGTTTCTGTAAAACGTAATGTCATAATATTTCCAAGTGAATCATTAATAACAGTGTATATATTATTAAAATTATCTTGTTATAATGGTTAGAACTTGGGATTGAGGGAACTGTTTCAATTTTTTTTATAAGGTAAAGATATTTCATTCATAAACAAGAGTATACCAAAAGGCAAAGAATATCCAAAAAAAGAGACACGATACTCTACAAACTCCATCCATTCTTCTTGATATAAAACTGAAATGTGAAAGTGAAAACCTTAACACTAAGAAAAAGAAATAAAGATCCAAGGAAAAAAAATCACCAGATGGAGATTGATTCACAAGTACAGCAATAGAAAGCTTAAACCCTCAATTAATAGAATCCAACAAGCACCTAACTAAAAGATAACCTTCAAGAGGAAAGCTTTGTCAAATCAGCAATTTATTAATATAAAGGTCATAGCCCCAACTCTCTCTAGACTCTAATGTATTACTCATAATCTCACTATATATCACAAAAATAATTTACCTACTAAAATGACATAATATAGTATTTCTACTAGACTAGGCTAAGACTAAAGAAATAATGGTGATGATTAATCCTGTACACTAATCTATCACATAAGCACCCAAATCCTCTCAAACCCATAAACGCTCACAATGTCTACACCACCAAACCTAGTCTCCTACTCCGTTGATGAGGACTCCTCTTCCTCACCGAAAAGGCATACATGCCTGAGAGAAAGAGGGTCGATTTATTTTTACCAAACGCCATCCTAGGCAGTCCTGTAAACGTCTGCAACACTCAACCTATCTTACTCACACAGAGTTGTCTAAGTATAGAAATACTTAAGCAACAAAGTTAAACAACGAACAAAATGTTCAGGAACTCGTCCCAACCTTTATTAATCTTATATTTAATACAAAGGGAAGGCTTCACGAATTTATCAACTATAGCCATAAACGAAATTTCCACCTTTATGAAATTTCTGCACATGGCAGTCACTTGCGGCAGTTACAAATGACACCTGTCTGACACTTGTCATCACAGGATTTAAACAAAAGTTTACAATAGCTATATTTCTAACAGATAGAATCTAATCCAAATTACATCCTTATCCACACGAAATATTAATATTCTAACACTTAGAGAATATTTCAGGCTACATTCCAACACTTAGAATATTTCAGCCAGCTTCCAATACTAAGAATATTTTAGCTGTCCTCCAACACCTCATTTTATTTCAGTAATTCACGTGAAATGCCTTTGATTTTGCCATCGTCAAGTCTTCACAGCTTTGCCTTTTCAAGACAACACGCTGCCTTGCCGAAGACTCCAGCCCACACGTAAGTCTTGCATGTTCAAGTTGGTTCGCCAACACCCAAGCACCTTCAACCTGTGTTGCACTGTTTTGCCGCCATTCATGTCAAGACCAATGCCCAAGTATTTTACATGTCCGCACGCACGTTAGATCAAGTAGTTTACGGGTCTAACACCAAGTCACCTAGGAAATTGTCTTAGGGGCAAGGCATCACCTCCACCATACCTTCATCTCCGCCTCATCAATTCCCTCCTCATTGGTTCCCATCTTTGATCCGGTCATCCTCTCTTCTCCCAATATACGCCTTCGGTAACCCTTTAACTCCCTCACCATCTCCACCGAAAACCCTAACTCTAATTTTATTAATCAAATATCCACTCTTTCAAGACCATTAGTCCCACCATAATCCTTAGAAATTCCTCTTCCTACATGAAATCCTAACCCAATGCCCACCCAGACCAGTTATTCACAAAACCTAGACATTGATGAGGTTCCCCTTATTAGTCAGCTACGCCAAACTGTTCCGCAGGAACCATGCAAGCATATTTCTCCAAAGAAAACCATTATCCACATCCCATTCACACGAATCTAGTCAGGCCCAACTCAAAAGGATGTTGAATCAAGCAAGAAATATCGTCACGCCGGTAAGTCTCTATTTCGCTCCCCTCAGTCTCTTCTTGTTGTTCTTGATTCAAACCCTGATTAGGCACCTGATGATTTTATTCCCTCTACTTCCTTTTTCCCCCCACAAAAAATGAGTAAGAATTTGTCCAAGTACTTCGAAATAGGGAAGGAAATGTGTTTTAGGTCTAAAACATTTTTAAGGGGGAGAACCTCTCATCCCGAGGTTTGGAATTTAGATGTGGTTCAAAAGGTGCTTGAATTGTTGTACTTTCAGGGTTGGGTGGATATGTTTCTTGACACAAGGTTAGAGGTCCACGAAAATGAGGTAGTTGAATTTTTTGTGAACCTAAATGTGTTTGAAGATAACGTTGCTACTTCCCGTGGTAATAAGGTTAAATTAATATTTTATAATGTACGTCTTCATGAAATTTTTCATATGTTGATAGCTGGGATAAGTGAATACGAGTGAACAAAGATGAAAATTGTTTGCTCACATCTATGTAAACACAATGGAGGGTCTTTGCACGACCAAGAAAGGTGCTTAAAGGGGAAATGACACCTTTTCACAAATTGTTGTACGAATTAGTGCACAAGGGAGTTCTTTTTCCAATGCCCTCGAAAACAAAGAACCTATTGAGCCTTCTCTTATGATAAAACACATGCGATACATAGTTAATCCTAAACCTGATCCTCGTCAGTTGGCTTTTAGCATCCTCCCCACTATTATGTTTAAAGCTTTTAATAATCCCTTGATGGAAGGGAGAGTTCTGAACAAGTCGGATATGGTTACTTAGGTCTAGTCTTGCATACTGCAGACTTCTTCATAATGACGACCTGGTTCTGCTACTGCTCCCAGGGCTACTAGCCCAGTTGCCATTCTTCTCAATAATCTTCATGCTGCCATGGAACATAATGTTGTCCTCCTTACTTAGATTGATACTCTTTGTACTAAGATGGCCGAGTCATAGGTGGAAGTAGCTAGATTGAAGGACTAGTTACTACTCCAACAACAAGATAACAATGCTCGTGTGTATCATGTGTCATATTACTTAGCCCTATCTCATACCCCACATACCTCTCTCCCCTTCCACCTCCTCTATCATTCCTCTTGGTTTTTTTCTGAGACAGTCTCGTGAAATGTTATGTTTGGTGTCAATGTTGGATATTTGTTTGGAGCACTATGAACTCATAACCTAATGCGTACTCTATTACTGGATTATTTGTCTTTGATTTGTTCTTCTCTTTTTGTTTGGATGGCTAATATCCTTAGATCTTGTTCACCTTCTTTTATCATGTCTAAGTTTATATTTCATCATCAAAAAAGGTAAATTTATGAATAATGAATTTCTCAAAAGACTTATGATGATGTCAAAATGAACAAGGTGCACATAACACATACCACACTTAAAATAAAGAGGCGGGAAGAGTTCAGTTATTTAGAGATAAAATAGGAAAAGTGTGTCCAAAACAGTATGCCGAGATGAAAAGGATTAGATTTCTAGGAAAACTTATATCTTCCTGGTAGAAGACGATCAAGAGAAAATGAACTTCTATAAAGGACTAAGCAAAAAAGAGAAATAGTTGTCTTTGTGAAATCATAAATTGAGACAAATTATTCCAAGAGAAAGCCGAATAATCAAGGAGATCAGCAAAGCAAATGAAAGAAGTACCAGAGTTGGAATTTCATTTTGAAGTAATGTGTTACATTGGTTGTTCTTGAATCAGTGTTTAGGAGGTGTGTTCTAAGAAAGAAGAAATTTTGTGAGAGTTATAACAGGAAGTGGGTTTTGACTGGAGAGTTGAGTTAAAGAGAGTTTGAGAGAATTGTAATAAGAAACGAGTTTGACTTCAGAATAGAGACTTTGATTATAGTTAATCGATAGAGAGTAAAAGTACTAGAGTTAGTTCTTTGATTATCGAGTTGCAATTTTGAATTTTTCTTAATGATAATAAAATGGTGGTGTGGTTTTTCCTTCCTTGAGGGAGAAAGGTTCTCATGATAAAATCTTTGTTTTATTGTGTTGGAATTGTTTATTTTGGTAAACGTAAAAGAACCTAGTTCTTGTATAGGGGGTAAGGTTTCTTCAATATCATGTGACTAGTGATGAAAAATGGGTGGGTTGAATAAAAATTTAGATGGGTTGAAAATGGTTAACATAAAATGAATAAGAATTCAACAAACTCATATTTCATATCGGTAACAAATGGATTGGGTAAAATACTTCCATTATTAGAATAGTACTTTACTTTAGAATTAAACATTGATAAAAAGAAAATGTTGAAGATACTTTATTTAGTTTTATTGTATCAGCAAAGTCAAAAAAAAAATCCTATTTAACTTTTCAATATTATAATTAACAAAAGAAATGTACATGTAATATAGTATATATATTTTTTAGGGTCAAACAATTTATCTTTTTCAATTATAGAGAAGAACAATTAGGAACATAAAAAGGATAAGAGATGTTACAAAAATTTTAGTGATATGATGAATTTTGAGTAAATAAAAGTTGAGGAGCTTAACTGATTCGGCTAAACCATATATTACCAATGAATACTCATATTTCTATGGATTAAATATGAGTATAAACATATATTTTACCTATCTAAAAAGTCACTCACCAACCCACAATAATATGGGCTAGCTTATTTTGCGGGCACTAACGCTGTGACTGAGAACTCATACAAGGAGGCAGGGTAAAAACCAACTTCAATAAGATTTTATATCTTGTTATAGTTGATGCATGCTGGAGTGTTTATTTTTTTTGCCTTGAAGCAAATACCTATATTCAATGTAATGCATGTACATAATACTCATTATGTGACAAGTAGGGCTTACTTGTTGTTTATCATAAACAAAAATACTACAGTTGATCTACTTTTTTCTCGATCGGTTGGAAAGAATAGTGACGTAGATTCAATCTACTACCCCATGTTTTCCTCTGTTAAGGGATTGAATAGTAGGGCTAGAATCAAGAATAGATACTAAACTTGATGAACCGGTTATTCTTCACTTGTAGCTTTAAGAGCCAATTGATTCTCCTGGAATGAATATTAACAACATACTATTTGATGAATACTGGCAACCAAATCATTGATCTCCTCATCTGTATCTAACTAATAATTGCATGCGATGTTTTATTCAAAGAATTGTACCAACATAGGCCACACTAATAACCATGTTAATTGAAAATTTGTTGAGAGATATATACATATTACATACCACACTTTCTGGGACGTTAGGTGGAGGCAGGGATAGATTTTTAGGTGGAGGTCCTTTGATATATGACCTCTTATCAAATCGCCACTCTCCAATTTTTCCGTAAGTAAGCTCACCCTGAACAACAAGCTACGGCATAAGATTACTCATCATTAATATAAAGATTGAAACTAATTAAGTACACAAATGATAACTCTACCTTCATGTTGTAGTCACACGCATAAGTGTAATGGAGGATAAACTTTTTTCTACTGTCCAAATCCCAAGGTGGCTAAAACATTTTCAAAAATTCAAAAATTTACTTACTTATGAAAAGTATAAGAAAATAAATATGCAGAAACAGATCAAAACCTGTAGCATAAAGTCTTTCCAAAGAATATGCTGAACACCATGCAAAGCAGAAGCTACAGCATAGGCATACCTTAATTAAGCAAAATAGATGAGTCAAAAACACAGTTTTGACGACAAAACCTACAATATCTTTCTGCTCATTAGTACATCTCTCACATTTCTAAGATCCAGCCAAAAGTTGTATCCGTTTCTTCATCATGTTTCATTCTTAGAGAAATATTCATCCATGTAGTTGCAACTTCCTCCAACAAATTCTGTATTATAAACCAAAAACAATTCCTTGAAAAATACAGGTGCAGAATAAGCACATAGTGCTGATCGAAGCATTGATGTAGCTGTAATAAACTTGATCACAGTTGAGAGACCTGTATTTAATAACAATCTAAACACACACGGAAAATTATTCTGAATAATTGATGAAATTAAAGCTGAAAAGATACATATAGATAGTATTAACAACATTAACAATATATAAATATTTATGAAGATTGACAACCTGAAACAAGCAGAGATTGAAAAATCAGCGCGCATGACAATTGCAACACAAAAAAAAATCAAAATCTGTAAAGAAATGAACAGTCTAGATATCGGCAATACTTTCGAAAGTAATGGTACAAGGAGTAGTGGGATATGATAAAGCTAATGATCAATGAAAGTCAAGATATGTATCCTGAAAATTAAATCAAACAAGCAAATAATTAGAGCCTCAGCCATAGTTGGAACGTTGATGTGCATTGATTTCGAGAGTCCAAAGTATAAGATGATATCAAGAATATTGTGAAAGACTTCAAGTCTTAAGCAGGCCTATATATGACAACACCTTGAGTAACATATCCATTTATCATTCCATTCTCTTGAAACAGCAAACCAAGATATCTAAATTTGGCACCACAATTGCGGTCTTGTCTTACATCAACTTCGCTCTTCTAGTGTTAATAACTAAACTTGCGGAGCATGTATTCGGTCAGAGTTACTGCTACTTATATTATCATGAAATTCTTACACTCTAAACTTGCGGAGCATGCAGAATAAAGGGTGTTGCTGCAATAATTTAATAGACGGTAGTAAAAATATACCTTCTTAATGATGACGGGGGAATTTCCAATGGGATCAACATTTGTTATAGGACCATTTTCTTTGGGAAAGAATTTCCTTATGATATCGTCGTGTTCAGCAGGTTTCATGTAGAAAAAAGGGAAAGCAACCGGGTAATCTCCATAAGCTAAATTTGGCAGGGGTTCCAAAAAGATGTGATCAGGCTCTGCCATAAGTATGTATCTGCCACAATAGAATAAGATTGTTATATACATATATGCAGTCAAGCTGCAGATAAGTACATTTGACAACTCACTCCTCTTCTATGGTAGCCTTCTCCAACCACTGAACGAATGCCCAAGGTCTATTGAGGACAATGTAACCCTGTAATAAGCAGCAAACTAACTGAGTATTTGATGCCAAAACCTGAGTGGAGGAAAGAAATTAAAGGCATGTTACCATATCAAAACCTTGTGGAAGAGGATCAACAACAAACGTGGGAATTTCATCCATAAGATTGTCAGGGCTTCCTGAATGGAGGATTCGGGTGAATTTTCCCATAGCTGAACCCGGTAAATTCTTCTTTTTCATATACCAGAAGTACATGATGCGGCATTGCCACTTGCTATAAGGAGTATCAGTTGCTGTTAATGCGATATGGAATAACAACTTTTCTGATATATTACTTAGTTTTGTGGGATTCTGAATAATGGGATCAGGAAAACCAACATCCCTTGATTTTGATTTCTCGAATCCAACAAATATTGTAATCACATTATATGTTACAAACAAAGAAACAAGAAAAAGAAATACTAGTGGTGTCATTCGTCCCATTGGCATCAACACTTTTTGTCCTTCCTTAGTCCTTACCCTGCAACAGCACAAGCACAAATAAAGCTTAAAACACTTAGCTATATTCTTTTCTTTTTTTTCTACAGATTAATCAGAGCGCAAAAATTAAAAGAGACTCTTGTCAAAATCATGTTAGCTTTATAAAACTAATTAAAAGGAGTCTACAAGCACAAAACCACATTCAAACTTTTACTAAAATCAAAGAGGTACTATCAAGACACAAACCAGTGATGAAATTCAAGGCAGCCAGCCAACACACAAGGACCAGGGCAACAACTAATCTCTGACAGGTTGTGTTTTTCTGACAACCTAGGAAAACAAACCCTACCTATATATATATATATATATATATATATATATATATATATATATATATTATACCCTCAATTTATTTAGATGGTTATTTTTTTTCAAAAAAGGCACAACATCTTCATTAATTAAATTAATTTTGAAATTTTATCAACTAATAGGGATAAAATGGTAAACTCATATACAAATTATTATTTTCTTAACAAATGTGTCAAATAAAAAATGTACTAGTAAATCGGAACATGGGAGTATTATTATTACTCCTATGGCTATTCATGGTCGTGGTTGATAAATCAAATCAAACTGCATTTCGAACTTAATCGATTAAAAAAAATTATATTTGATTTGGCTAGATATGATTTAAATTTTTAAAACTGATACTATTTGATTTGATTTTGATTTCACTAAGAAAAAACCACAAAAATAACCAAACTGAATCGAGAATTTATATGTATATAAAAAAAGTTATAATTATTTAGACATTATTAATAAATAAAATATAAATATTTTGATAAATTTTCATCAACTTAAGTCTTTAACTTTATCATCCTCTCAAGCTCAACAATTACATTTTTGTCTAACTACTACAACCATAAGTCCAAGTCCATCAAATTTCATTCACATAATATTGTTACACTTTCTCTTATTTGAATCACTTTGTTTGGATTTAATATCTCAAAATGTCACTCAACTTTGAGAAATATCTAGGAAAGTCATTAAACTTTCTTTTGTATCACTAAAATCACTCAACTTAGATATTAGTATCAATAAAATCACTCAACTTAAGTATTTATATATCAATAAAATCACTTAACTAAATTTTTTATATGAACACTAATTTCTTTTATGTTATCTAAAATATAGACTCCACAAATAAATACAATCGAATTCGTACTTTTAAATTTCACTCCATTTTTATGTCTTGATCACTAAGGGTCTCTAGTATGTGTTTTTGGAAGTATAGATTAATGTTTGGTTGGGCCGTGATTTTATTCTGTTTAGTCAATTTTCTAATTTTTTATTGGATTATTTACTTGAGTGGATTTCTTTTAAAAAATAATTATTTATTTTAAATGTAGTCTTTAATTATTATCATTTATAGAAATATATGATAATATTGTGTACTTGTTAAATTGTCTCTCGCGCTCTTTTTCTTTTTTGTCGCTCTTTTTTTTCTCCTTTCCGCTCTTTTTTTTCTGTCTCTCTCGCACTCTTTCTTCCTCTCTTCTCTTTACCCACTTCTTTTATGAGCTCTTTTTCAATCTCCCAAAAAAAGAGAAGCAAGTAAATTGAATGCAAAATATGGCAAACAAAAGAGCATCTTATTATTTGTAAATTGAATAAAATTTGTATCAATAATTAATTAAACAAATAATCTAATAGTAACAAATTAAGCAATAAACTATAAAATGAATTAAACTTGTATAAAAAGTGTATATATAAATATTAAAGTTGAATTAGAAGAGAGAATCAATCATGAATAAAAAGCGTAACTAATAAAAGACCAAACATTGATCTATAGATAAACTTTTATCAATAATGAATTAAGCAAGTAATTTAATAGTAAAATATCAATCAATAAACTGCAGAATGAATGAAATTTGCATTAAAAATGTATTATACAAATACTAAAGCATGAATGAAAAATGTAACTAAAGAAAGACAAGACAATGATCTATAAAGTGAATTAAACTTATATTAATAATAAATTAAATAAGTAATCTAACATTGACAAATAACAAACTACGAAATGAATCAAATTTGCATTAAAAATGTATTACACAATATTAAAATTGAATTAGAAGATAAAATTAAGAATAAATGAAAACGTAATTAATGAAAGAAATGAAAATAATCTATAAGCTGAATTAAACTTTTATTACTCTTGAATATAATTCATTGTTTATGATTTTAATTCAATTTTAATTCATATATAATACAACTTTAATACAATTGTGATATAGTTCCATAAAATTAACCTTTTTTGACCTTCAATCTAATATTTCTCCTAAAATCACTTATAAACTTAATCAAAACCATTTAAAATTGATATATAATCTCCAAACAACATTTTCAATTATTTGGTGAGAACAATCTATCAAAATTAATCACAAATCCGTAAAATTCAAATAATAAATTTAAAATTAGAATTTTTATAATAACCATCATTGATGAGTTCTTGCTGCTTTAATTTTCTAGATTTGAAATTTCTGCTTGAAAACATAATTTTTGTGCAATTTTTTAATCACTCTGTTACTATTTTTATCGTATTTTTTGATAAAAATGAAAAAATATGTACAAAAACTTATATTTGGATGAAATTTTAAAGAAGAAGAAACAAAAAGGAGAATGATAAAGAGACAAAGAAAAAGACGAAAAAGAAAAAGAATAAACAGAAGAAGAGAAGTAAGCGGAAAAAATGCAGAGAAAGAGGCAAGCACCTGTACAATTTGTTTCATTCCAAAAAATTGTTATATTTAGTTAGGAAAATTATATTGACATAAATAGTAAATATTTTTTTGATGTAGCATATTTATGTGATTTTCCCTTTTTTGTCTATATAAGTTACTTACGGTAGAGAAATATTGAAATATTTGGACAAAAATTTAAAAAGAAAATACTGTGTATTTCTTAACTTGGCCAAACATAACAGTTTTGATATTAACATCGGCGAGATTTTTTTTTAAATAAATTATTTAATCAAATATCATCTGATATTATTATCTTTTTTAAAAAAAAAAAGAATTTCTAAAATAAGTAGATAAAGTTAATTTCATCATCAAATTAATATTAACTAATAGAGCATTAGTTGGAGTGAACAAAGTTGGCATAGTTTCAGTTTGAGTAAAATCGAGATTTTTAAAAAAAAATTAATTATGAATTTGATTTTATTTATCTATGGAGTGTATATTTATATGGGACAAAAATTATTTGATATGTTCATATTTTTTAGAGAAAATAAATTTTATTGGATGTGTTTTTTGATATGAAAGTCTAAGTGAAGTGATTTTTGTGATACAAATCAATGTTTAATGATTTTATTAGATAAATTCTCAAAGTTGAGTGACTTTTTAAGATATGAACTCCTTTTTCTTGTGTGTAATAATAGTTCTATTATTGCTTAATTGAATTCACAATAGCTTTCATATGAATTCACTACACCAAAAAGTGTTTTTAACAACAATTGTTTAGCGGCAATAAAATAATTGCCACTAATTTGTTCTCTAAAATTAGATATAGCGACAAATGCACTTTGGCCGGAAAAAAAATCACTTTTCAGTGGCAATAAAAGACAACTACCACTAAAAGTCAATAAATATTAACAATTTTGCTATTTTACTTATTCCCTCAGAGAAATAAAAGACGATAGTTATTACATTCGTTGCCCTCCTTCAGAATCAACACCTACAGAGCCACCGTAGACATTTTATTTACCATCATCAGAGCCACCGTATTCACCGCCACCAGAGCCACAATATTCACCACAGCCACCAAAACAACCGTATGCACACCCTCACTACCCAGACCTCTAAATCCACCTCCGCTGCCGAACAACATATCTGCTATCACTACAAAAAAAGGCCTCGTTTGTGGAGATTCAATTTTTGGGGTTACAGTAACCTCCACAAACATGTATTAACCGTGGGGGTTTATTGCAACCGCTCTAATTTTTCACTAGCTTGAGAGGTTTAAACCCTCGATATTCGTTAAAAAGAATTAGCCGAGCAATTCTCTCATACTTTAATTCTTCATTCAATTTTTTTTTATGCTATGAGCTAATCTATATCCATAGTTATATCTATCTATACTATCTTAAAATTATAAACTCCTAAATTTCAATGTCGAATTACTATGATACCCCCAAATAAAAATACTCAATTTATATATTCATTTAAGAAATTGTGTTAAATGAAAAGTAGATACCTTTTCACATTATTAAAGAGTTGTTACTTTTCCAATTTATTGTGACTTTTTCTAAGAATTGTGATTCCTTTGAGAGATTGTGACATTTTCGACGTGTTGCGACTTTTTTGAAGGGTTGTAATTTTTCAAATGGTCATGTATTTTCCGAAGGCTTGTGCCTTCTCCAATAAGTTGTGACATTTTCAAAGGATTGTGACTTTTTCGATGAGCAGTGGAGTTTTTGAAAGATTGTGACTTTTCTAATAAGATACTGATTCGTACTACTATTTCTTAGCTATAAATAGAGGGTGTTTCCTCGAAATTTTAGTCTATAATTTTTAAAGTTTTCCAATCTTCTTCTTCTTAAAAAAAACTCAAATGTTATTTGCAACAATTGGTTAAGGTTAAAATTCAATGAACTTTGAGGCACCACATAAGAAAGAGTTGGTGAACAAATTTTAAAAAATCATTCATCAATTCACACTCGTAATTTCCTATTACAATTTTCATCTTTTACATATTTCAATATTATTCATATCATTTTAGAACATCATTTTAGAATATTTATACGTTTTTAGGCAACCTACATATATTATTTATTAAAAAAACACTTATGTACTATAAATAGTCACAACAATTTCAACCGTCATATTTCTTTGGTCATTAATCACAAAAATTTATTTCTTATAAATTCTTCGATATTTCTTTTATGAGACAATTTAAGATCATTAAAATTTTTATAAATGATTAATCCCCCATCCGTTGACATGGTTCACCAAAGTCCATAGCATGAAAATTAAGGTATTTGCTTTCTATTAAATAAAAAAAAAGAACTGAGAAATGTGCATTTAAGGGTGCGTTGCTTCACACAAAAAACCTCTATATATAGTGTGCCAAGGTTTTCATCTCTCTTTTTTTTTTTTTTTCAATTAACTACTTTTGTATTTTCATAGGAGAAAGAATTTTATAATTAGTGTTCACATAACGAGTGAATAGTGACAAATACACACATTGTGAATTATTTTTCTAATAAAATTAACTTGTGGTAGACACAATCATGATAAACAAATACAGAAAATGCACATGATCTTCTTTATTTATCT